CGAAACTAAAGTCAGCATTTTGCATTTCCTTCATTAATAAGAAAACAAAAAAAAAAAATCAAATAAAAATAAAATAATTTCATCGAAGCCTAAAAGATACTTAGATGCGGAGGTAAACGAAAGTGGGAGAGAGAGAGGGGTTCACGGCGGCTTTGAAGCTACAGGACCTGCAATTTCGGTGTTCAGAAGCTGAAATCTTGGCGTGAAGAAATCGAAAATGAGAGGCGAAGCTAGCGGCAGCAACAGCAATAACAGAGGACAGAGCGTGGTGGTGGATTGGGGTCGGCGGAAAAGCTCTTGTGGCTATTGCAGATCTGGCGCTCGAACCAGCATCTCTCACGGTCAGTCTTGTTGAATCCCCTGCTCTTTGTTCTGTTTTTGCTGATTGTTATTCTTTTTTGCACGTATTAGAGGATTTCCCCTTATGCACTCGTGATTCGGATCAATTGAGCTTTGTTTTTGTTGTTATTTCGGTTCTGTTTGACATGAATTCTTCAATTGACCGTGATAATTTTGCAAATTTTTTAATATGTTCTCTGAAACTTGTGGTGTTTTGCCATGATTACCGAACTAGATGATCTGGGCACCAAGGACACCAAGTGGAATACGTGTAACGATGATTTGTACTTAGTTGACATATACAGACATAGAACTGTGTTCTGCCACTCTTGAGGCTTGTCGACGGACTCAAAATATTGATATTGTTGAGTTACTAGATTACTGCAGTACTGCCATTTATGAAGTGTTTAGACGGAGTACATGACATGAATTTTCTGATTCTCACAATTCTACTTGACCTTGTTTTTGCAGGTTTGTGGGCAGAAAGCATTACAGTCGATGACTATCAAGGTTGATTTATTCTTCATTTTTATGCAAATTGCAAAATTAATATTAGTAATCTTACATAAGAATATTAAAACTTCTAATTTGTAATCACGTTTTGCTGGTTGTAGTTTCTGTATGGTAATGACCATGTTATGTAGAATTAAGGTTATCATACCAAATGACGAAAAGGTCTGTCATTTAGGAAAAGTTTATTAAAAGGAAGAGAGAGAGAAACTTTTCTTAGACTTGTACCAAAACAACATGGTAATGCAATTGCTCTTTTTTTTTCCCCCCCTAAGTATAATGCTATTTCTATTTCTTTTATTTTCAAACAAATAATAGATAAGACTTAAGAAGTGGAAGGTGCTATTCGGAACAATACAATTGATTTTTGGAAAATGTTGTCTTGTTTGTTTTGTCTGTCCATTAGTAGTAGCACCTCATCCAGCCAGGTGGATCCTAGTGATACAAGTAAGGACCTTTCTGATTCCTGGATGAGAGCTCCATGGGTACATTGATGAAGAACTTCCTTTTTCTCTGACATATACTGTCGGCAGCTTTCATAACGATTTTTGCTTGCATTCCTATTAAATTTGTTGCTTTGAATCAGAGTCATCGAATCAACATAGTTAAGAGTCCTCTAGGTCTGCTCTTTTGTAATGATTCCTCCTTTTCTTTGTACTAACATTGTCCTTAAATCTGCCTGTGGATTTTGTTGTCCATTATTTCTATGCCAGTGCTAGATGCGTTAGATTTTTGTTCTTTCTCGCAATTCCTTGCATGTGGATGATCTTGTCTGCAGAAATTATATTTTCCTTTTTCTGATTATTTTTATCTTTCTAGTTGCCTAATTTAATTATGACTATTTTGTTAGATCTACTTGACCGGGGATGGAGGAGATCTGGATGCTTCCTCTACAAACCTGAGATGGAAACGACATGTTGCCCATCATATACCATTCGTTTGAAGGCAAGTGATTTTG